AAAAAAAAAAAAAAAAAAAAAAAGAAAGAAAGAAAGGAAGGAAGGAAGGAATCACAAATATGGTCTCAAGATACATCCATTTAGCTAGAAATGTCTCAAGCTCATGCTTCTTTATGACAGAGTAGTACTCTGTTGTATAAAAAACTACATCTTCTTGGGCCAGGGATTTAGCTCAGTGGTGCCACTGCCTGCCCTGCAAGCTCAACATTCTGAGTTTGATCCCTGGTACCAAAAAAATAAAAAAATTACATGTTTATCCATTCATGAGTTGATGGGCATTTGGGTTGTTTCCAAAATGTAGCTATTACAAAATGTGCTGCTATAAACATGGATATACATGTATCTCTGTGGTGTGATGTTTTTAATTCTTTTGGGAAGATACCAAGAAGGGGAACAGCTGGTTCAAATGGAACCTCTGGTTTTAGCTTTTTGAGGAATCTCCACACTGATTTCCACAGATTGCACCAACAGTGGAGAAGTGTTCCTCTTTCCCCACACCCCCACCAGCATTTATTATTGGTTGATTTCTTGAGAGTAGCCATTCTTTCTGGAGTGAGATAGAATCTCAGCATTGGTTTAATTTGCATCTCTCAAATGACTAGTGATGTTGAACATTTTTTTCATATATTTATTTGCTGTTTCTTTCTTTTTTCTTTTCCTTTTCTTCAGTACTGGGGATTAAACTCAGGACCTTGCACTTGCAAGGCAGGTGTGATGCCCCTGAGCTAACTCCCCAGCCTGTATTTGCTGTTTCTACTTTTTCATCTAAGAATTGTCTGTTCATTTCAGATGCCTATATTTGGATTGGGCCCTTAAATTTGGGGGGGGGTCTGATTTTTTTGAGTTCTTTATGTATTCTAGTTACTAGTCCTTTGAGGAATAACTGGCAAGAAATTTTTCCCACACTGTGTGTTGTCTCTTTACCCTGTTGGTGTTTTGTTTTTTGTTGTGCAAAATCTTTTTTAATAAGATGAGATCCTAGTTGTTGATTCTTTGTGATATTTCCTATGTGTTTGGGGTTTTGTTCATAAAGTCTTTGCCTACACTAATGTTTTTAAGAATCTTACCTATTCTACCTTCCAGTAGGTTTAGTGTGGAAACCCAGTTTTTCCAGCACCCTTTTTTTTTTTGAGGCAAGGTCTCATTTTGTAGTCCAGGCTGGGTTGGCCTCAAACTCACAGCGATCCTCCTGCCTCTGCCTCCCAAGTGCTGGAATTATAGGTGCACCACCATGCCTGGCCATCCAGCACCATTTTTTAAAGAGGCTATCTTTCTTCCAGTGTTTGGCTCCTTCGTCAAAGATAAGGTGGCTTATGTCTGGAATATGTCTGGATTTGTTTCTGTATCTTCTAATCTGTTCCATTGATCCTTGGCTCTATTTTTTTGACAGTTCCATGCTGTTTTTAAAATCATAGTAGCTTTGTAGTGTAGTTTCACCTGGGGATTATGATGCCCTCTGCCTTGACTTTGTTGCCCAGAATTTCTTTTGCTATTCTGGGTCTTTTCTGAATTTTGGGATTGTTTTGTCTAATTTGTGAGATATGCTATTGGTATTTTGATCAGTGTTGCATTAAATCCGTAGAAGAATTTTGGAAGTATGGCCATTTACACTGTATTGATTCTTTGTACCCAAGAACAAGGGTTATCTTTCCCTTTTCTGATATCCTCTTTGATCTCTTTTTTCAGCATATGGTAGTGTTGCATAGAAAGGTCTTTTACTTCCTTTGTTAGATTAATTCCTAGGTTGGTCTGTCTGTCTGTCTTTCTTTCTTTCTTTCTTTCTTTTTTTGGTACCAGGGATTGAACTCGGGTCCTTGTGCTTGCAAGGCAGGCCACTGAATTGCTGAGCTAAATCCCCGGCCCTATCTTTTCTTTTCTTTTTGGATGCTATTGTATGTTTGTTTGTTTTTTGTTTTTTGAGAAAGGGTCTCACTATCAGCCTGGCCTTGAACTCACTATGTAGCCCAGGCTGGTCTCAAACTCACAGTGATTCTCCTGCCTCAGCCTCCTGAGTGATGGAATTACAGGCGTGCGCCACCATGCCTGGCTCTGGATGCTATTGTAAAAAGTGTTGTTTCCCTAATTTCTCTCTTAGTGAGTTTTTTATTTGTGTACAAGAAGGCTGTTGATTTTTTGAGTGTTGAATTTATATTGAGCTATGCTAATAAATTTGGTTATTAAATCTTGAAATCTTTTGGTGGAATTTTTGGGGTCTTCTATTAGAGTCTTGTGTCGTCTGCAAATAATGATAATTTAACTTTTTCCTCTCCTACCCTTTTATTTCCTTTTATTTTTATTTTCTTTTATTTCTTTCTCTTGTCTAATTGCTCCAACTAATATTTCCAGAACTGTATTGAATAAGAGTGGTAACAGTGGACATCCTTGTTTTTTAGAGTGAAAGCTTTCGGTCTTTGTCCATTTAGTGAAATGCCACTTCTGCTTGAAGTCTTTTTTGCTCACCCAGTGGCAGTATGTAGCTTCCCGTAGCACTAAGCCTGCCTTCTGCAAGCCACCCCAGAAGGTGGTGAGGGCAGGGCTGGGGTGGGTGGTCCCTGTTCCTGTAAAGAATCCTGGTTCTCCATGACTGGGGCAAAAGCAGAAGGCATCATCAGCCCTGGGCCGTGTGTTTTCTCTCTCTTTCAGATCAAGCGCTCATCCATCCGAAAGGGCATGGTGATGGTTTCACCTCGTTTGAATCCTCAAGCATCCTGGGAATTTGAGGCCGAGATTCTTGTCCTCCATCATCCCACCACAATTAGCCCACGCTACCAGGCCATGGGTATGTGTTTCGGGCCTTACAGGCCCTGCCCTAGCTCCCACCAAAAACTGATCCACCTCCAGCCAAGAGGAGGGCCGGCCACATCCCCATCCCGTTCAGCTCAGCTGCCGTTCCTTCGGTTCTACTCACAAGCTACAGTGTTGAGTTGGTCCTGCAGATGGTCACGGAGGGCTCTGAGACCCAGACCTGTCCTCAGGAACCTCGCTGCTGAGCGCTGCTGCGTACCTAGCTTTGTTGCCAAGGGCTCACCATCCAGTCACGAGGCACAGGTGCAGACACAGTGTCCTGGGATCCCTGGAACTAGGGTGTGGGTGAGCTCACTGGCCCAGCTGGAGGAAGGGGAGAGCAGAGGCACTATCAGTCTGCGCAGAGGCCACCAGCTCATTCCCACACTCCCTCGGGGGCTTTGATCCTAGAGATGAGCCCCTCCAGCGTCTTTCATGCTTTCGCTCACTGTCCCCTTGTCCTGACGCCACAGAGGGCCCCGAGTCTGTCTTGACCTCCTGCTCCCTTGGCAGTGCACTGTGGGAGCATCAGGCAGACGGCCACCATTCTGAGTATGGACAAGGACTGTCTGCGTACTGGGGACAAGGCCACCGTTCACTTCCGCTTCATCAAGACCCCTGAGTACCTGCACATAGACCAGCGGCTGGTGTTCCGAGAAGGTCGCACCAAGGCTGTCGGCACCATCACTAAGGTATGGCCCGGACCTACCTCACCTGCTGCAGGACACACCAGGGGTCACTCTAGCAGGGCGACTGAGCATCTCAAGCTCCTCCTGAGAATCCTGGCAAGTCCCCCTCCCCCTCCCTGGGCAGGGCTGGGCAGCACTGAGGTGAGGCTGCTCTGCTGGCTTCTTTCCTGCCACAGGAGGTGTCCTTGGGTCTCCCGTCCCGGGCTTTAATGTGGCCTTGGAGGAGAGCTGAGATTGGGTCCTGGCCTGTCTCCTTGGGAAGTGTTGGGGCTCAGTGTCCCGGGCCTGCTCTTCAAGTTGCCAGCTCTGATTCCTATCCCTATAGCAAAGCAGGTGTGGTTGAGTGAGTGCTGGACAGTTCAGGGCATCAGGTGTGGATTTTCTGGTGCTGAACTCTGTATTTGTCCTGGAGCCCACTTTGTCCTCTGCAGACCTCGCCCCTGGCGTGGGGCATTCTGTGGAGGCTTTGACCCCTGCCGTGAACAGAGAATGATGTGGTCTCCACATATCTGAGATCAGCTTCAGGCTGACTTCCAGTCCTCTTCACAGAGTTGTGTCCCTCAGGGACTGCCCAGGAATATGGGGGAGGCTGCAGCACACACTGTAGCATTCTCTGGGACTTGGCTGGGCCTCCTCCCCTCTATATTTGAGACGAAACTTGAACCCCCGAGGGAAGATTCCAAGGCATTTGCTCCTAGGTGGTAGCCTGTTTTGTTTTTAGGATTGGGTCTTGCTCTGTAGTTCAGGCTGGCCTTGAACTCACTGTGCAGCCCAGGCTGGCCTCAAATTCATGGTGCTCCTCCTGCCTCAGCCTCCCAAGTACTATGATTACGGGTATGCGCCATCACGCCCAGTCTGGGTGGTAGCTTTTTAAGATTTCTCACAGACTCCACATGTGCTTTTAGTTGATGAGTCATTCATTTGGTCTCTTTGGGAGGCCTGAAGTTAAAGTTGGCTCAGAGCAGGTTGTGGGCAGGCTGGATGCCAGCCTGGGAGCTGGGAGCTTGCCTGGGAAACAGTAGAGAGGGCCAGGGTTCTCTTTGGGCTGCTGCTGGTCCAGGAATGGGAATGGGGTGGATCTGTCTGGGCATGAAGAGGTGGGAAGGGAAGAGTCAGCCAGGGGCTCCGAGGTCCTAGATTGAGACTAGGATGAACAGACCTCCCATGGCTGCGCTCTGGCGTGGCCATCCTGCCTTGTACCCTCTGTAGGACCAACCAGACCAGGGGTGAAGCTCCCTGAGAGAAGGGGACAGGGACCTGGCTGGACTGCTCATGCTACTGCTCTGCAGCTCTGGCCTCACCCTCACCTCTTTGACTCCCGCAGCTGCTCCAGACCACTAACAACTCCCCAATGAACTCCAAGCCCCAGCAGATTAAAATGCAGTCGACAAAAAAGGGCCCACTGTCCAAACGAGAAGAAGGGGGACCATCTGGTGGGCCGGTGGTGGGGGCGGCCTCTCCCGGAGATGAGGCTTCATCTGTCAGCGCAGGGCCCAGCGCATCCAGTGGTCTGCAGCCCCAGGTGAGTGAGGCTCCAGGGTCCTGGGCAGGGGCCAGGGCTTGTGGGAAGGGGTCCTGTGCTGTCTCTTACTAAGGCAGAGTTTCTCCAGCTGAGATGTGGCCCATGTCAAATCGGTATAATTGGTCCTCACTAGCATTTGGCTTTAATGAAGTAAAACAAAACAGAAAATGTCAGATTTCCCTTTGATGGTGAGAGTAGACAGTGTCGAGATGCTGCCCTTCAGGCTTCTCGTGGCCGCTCTTGGCGTCTTGGCATGCATGGAGGTGGCCTTAGCAGTGGCACGTGGCTGTCTCCCAGGGCTCTCTCCTGGCCTGGCAAAGGGCGGTGCCCCTTGTCCATCTCTCCCTAGTGTCTCTTTCTCCGCACACCCGTCTGGAGAAGTTTCTGGATGAGCGTGTCACAGGCCCATGTGTCACCCCCACAGCCAGCATGTTAAGTGTTTCCCCTGATTCTGTCATTTGTCTTCCCAGTCAGCAATGGCAAATGTTGATTCATGCTCAACTTTGTCCTTCTCTGAATGGCCCTACACTGTGTGTGTGTGTGTGTGTGTGTGTGTGTGTGTGTGTGTGCGTGCGCGCGTGCGCGGTGGGCAAGGTCACCTCACAGACTGCCCTCTGCCTGGCCCCTGCTGCCCCAGCTTGCTCTCAGGGGACAGCATTTCTCAAGTTTCTCCTTTCTGTCTTTCAGCCCAAGCCCAGCAGTGGGGGCCGACGACGAGGGGGCCAGCGCCACAAGGTGAAATTCCAGGGGGCCTGTGTGAGTCCTGCCAGCGGCTGCTGAATCTTCCCTGGCCCAGCCCTGTCACCCAGGGATCTTTACTCTGGCCACCACTCACCAGCTGGGCAGAGCAGCTCTGACCGCACCCGCCCACTCCCAGGCCACACCAGAGCCTCTCCGTTGCTCCACCCCCATTTTCCAGGGGGCTTGTAATTTATAAATGAGGAAGGTGGCCAGACTTCTCGAGGACTGACCGTCTCCTGCCTTCTTCCCTGCCTCCTTCTTCACTCACACATCTTTTGTACATCTGGGCCCTTAGTTTTTATTCTTTTTATTATATATCTGTGTCTCTCTA